CGATAAATCTCTTTTCCGCGCTCGCGCCGGCTATCGCTTCTTGAAACGTCGTGTATCGTTGTGAGCGTACGAGTACTTTTAAGTCGCTTCGTAGCCCTAATTAAAAATTCAATAATGCTTGTTTTTGGATCGTTAGTAAAATAGTGCGTTTCTCTGAGCTCGCATGGTTCTCTCCCTCTATCATTGAATCGTATAAATTCATCGCGAGCTGGTCGACGCGTTGCCCGAAACTTTGTGCTGTCTCATTATATTTCTGCTTTAGTGAATTGAATTCAAGTTTTAAGTGGGCAGTATTTTGCTTGCTTTGGTATGCGGTCTCTAGTTGTTGTGTTAATTCCTTAAACGTTTGTATGTCTCGCGTTTCGAAATCTTGCATGACCTTAATTTAGTAAATAGTATGCCTTGTATCAGAGACTCTTCGTCTCCGGGGTGTATGTTTTGTATGGTATATGTGCATGCGTTTAAAAATTCTTGAAGGCGGTGTTGCGATGTACCGTCGAATTCGGGTATCATCATTCGCGTTTCCTTTAGAGACATATATTGTCGTGCAGTAGACTCCGTCGATTTTGTACGTCGCGCTCAGTCCGTCCGTAAGTCATACGAGGCTCGTAATCGGACTCCCGTCGTTCGTCTGTGTGTGTGTATGCCCGTGCGGCTTCTATCCTATCTATACGTATGTTTATTGTATGTAACTTTGCATGTATAACTTGTATTATATTAAGCATTTGGGAAGTTTTCCCGGGCGCTATGACGGAGGGTTGTTGTGACGCGGCGTCTAAATTCTGTCCCATTTGGGCAAGGGTTTGTCGGAGTATGCTTATTTCGGCATTTATCGCGGCTGGCGGAATAATTGCTTCCGCGTTTGTATTTTCTACCATATTTATTTCGCTATAAATTTCTTCAGGGTCGAATATTTTGCTGTCGTATGACGTTAATGAAAATTCTCTCCGCGAAGATACTCTACTCGGAGTTCGGCTGATATACGGTCGCAATCGACGCGGTTCGTCTTGAGTTACTTGAACGGAGTCGCTCGGGTTATGTGGGAATATACTCGCGTCAAAACTAGTAAACGGAAATTCTTGTTTGTTTATTACGTTCGAAGGTAACTCGATATTATTTTTGTTTGACAAGTCGCTGTCTAAATTTCTACGAACGCTTTCGAGATTTTGCGCAGTTAAAGGCAATACTCGCGTTGTTAACCGTACAGATGTATTATGTAACCACGATTGGTTTTTAATCGCTTGTCGGGGTGTTTCGTCACCTTCCGACATTCACGCAATCAAATAAATTCGGACTTACAGTATTACGGCTCGCATCGTTACGCTTTACACGGGTCGGCTGCGGCTGCTGCAACTCGATCTCTCGTGGGCTGATAACGGCTGCTCCTTGTTGGTGCGCTGTTCGTGAGGTTGTGGTAGGTCGGCGTTGTCCTTGGACATCGGCGATTTCTTTCGGCCCTCAGCTGCTTATCGCTCGTAGTACTGCTTGTGTTGTCCGTTCTCTCTTTCTCTCCTTCTTGTCGTGGCTTTTGCTTGTTTCCGTTAGTGTTACTGACGTGCCCGTCTAACACTTTTTATAATTTTATGTGTTTGTTATAGCCCGAAAGGCTATAATTATAAGTTTAACGAATATAAAATCCGCGTGGAGACTGCTGATACAGCAGCGAGCCGGAAATCGCAAAGACGTAAGCTAAGAGCTTTATCTTTCGAACAGCTCTTAGCTCAAAATCTAGCTGCGTATGCAAAAGCTATGCACCAATTGAGTGCCTGTCGCCAGGTACTCCTTCTAAACAAAATAACGAAAAACCGAGTTTACGTAAAAACTCGGGAGTAAACAGAGATTAGATTAGATTAGATACGTTTATTGCTGCTTCAATTAGAGATTACAAGGCGCTTTTTTCCTTGTTTAAAGGAGCGGTCCCAAACCTTTATACGTCCATTTACAATCCATTCTTAACCTATAACTTAACCTATAACTTAAATCTAATTAACGTAAACAATTATATATATACAGTTGTATATACAGACACAAATGAGTCGCCACGCCATTTCGCTTCGCCGCCCACTACGCCTTTTCTCGCCTTTCCACCCTACCTACTTCCTACCAGCTCTTCCACACACACGACCTCTTTATCCTAGCCTTTCTTAACCTACGCTTTCTTATTCGCTACTTTCGCATTCTTATGTATACTACTTAACCTAAGTGGAACTTTTTTTTTTTGGTGACGCTGGAAAAACCATTATGGTACCACTCACCTCCGGGTAGAGGTGAGGGTTATGTGGGACTCCTTGTTCCCCTTGATCGAGACACTCGAGGCTTGACTAGGGGGCCCAAGACCTACCGCACTAAAACCCCAACGGATGTCTTACTCGTGGCGTTGAATGGGGAGTGTCGAGGATGCTGGTTTCCCATAGCCGTCTCGGAAACCACTCCCCCGCTAATAGTTCCGGGAAGCCGCCTCGACCTTGCGGCTGAAACCCCTCCCCGACCGCACAGTCAGTGACTGTGCGGTTCCTTCGCGGTTGCGGCGCAGGGCGAACACCGGCCCCACGCCGCGCTCTCCCAAAGAGTTTGGGGGGGCGGGGCTATGGCTCGAGAGCTCCCGCTCGAGCCATCGCCTCCCGTCCCCCCAGTGGTCGCAACCCCCGGATCCCCTAAAGGGTGATCCGGTTCGGTGTTCCACCGGGGGAGCCCTCACCGGGGGGTTCCTCTCTGAAGGAGAGAAACCCCCCTCCGTGGATGACGGTCCCTCCCCCCGGTGCTTTATGGCTCCCGGTGAGAGGGCCCCGCACGTCACGTTTCCGTCATTGAGGAGGGTTCCAGGCGCCCCGAGCGGACGGGCGATGTCCACCCGCCAGGAACACATGGCCCCCCCTCGACCCTCTCAGCTGCGGCTCTCTCCGCTCCCTTAGGAGTTAGGATTTGGCCACAGCCGAGGGGGTTGCCCTTTTGGGGGCGCGGCCCCGCCAACCCCGCCTAGGCAAGGCCGACGCGTCCGCGCCCCCGATTCTCGAGAGGTCTTCGGGGGGGGGGCTGAGACTTAGATGTCTCTAGCCCCCCCCCCCGAGATCCTATCCCACATCTATGTTGGATGCGGGTATGGCAGGCGTGCGCCCCCCCCTCCCCGATCTCCGACGCCCCCGCCGGGCAGGCAGCTGCCCGCCACGGGCGCCGAGGAAAGAAGGGGCACACCCCCACCTATATGTTGATCCTCCTCCTCATCTTCTTTGCTGCCACTGGCAACCTCTCTCTCCTCCCACTTTCTTCTTCTCTCTCTTTTCTTCTTTCTATCTCTTTCTTTCTCCTCCTTTTGCTGCATCACAGCTTCGCAGTAGGAGGAGAAGGATTTCCATGCTTCCTCGCTCCCAGCAATCTTTTGTATTATTGCTGGGAGCGACAAATCCCTCCCGACTGCGGCCACCAACTCTGCTCGTTCGCCCGCCCAGGCAATACAGTCTTCAAGCGTGTGCTGGGCGGTGTCCCGTTGGTGGCCGCAGTGATGGCAGCGCGTGATGCGCTCCTTTTCGATTCTCCTCAGGTACTCACTAAAGCATCCATGCCCGGTGAGCACCTGAGTCATTCGGTATGTAACACCCCTTTTTGCCCTGCCTAGCCACTGCTCCAGGCAGGGCCGGATGGCCCCGACGGTGCGTTGCCCGAGAAGACTGGGATCTTCCAGTCTCCCGGACCAATCTTTGATTAGACGCCGCCGGGTGTGGATCCTTAGGTTACGCCGGATACTGTCCGTTGCGATGATCCCGTCTCTTTGTAGCCCGCGTGTACGCCTGTACACTTCGGCGTACATGCGGGCCAGTAATTCTATTGGAGGTACTCTGGAGAGTACCCCAACTGCTGTCCAGCTTACTGTACGGAACTCCCTACAGATCCTGTTGGCGACCCTTCTCTGCAGTTGGTGCAGCGAATCCTTCAATTTTCGGGTCGCCTCTAGTTTCTCAGCCCATACGGGGGCTCCGTACATGATCATCGCATGAACAGTCCCAGCATAAAGTCGGCGAACCCTCTCGTCGGGTCCCCCGAGGTTTGGCAGTAGCCGACATAAGACCATAGCGGCCCTGTCCACTCTCCAAATAAAATACTTGGGTCTCCACCTGGATGGAAAGTGGACATTTGGCGAGCACTTTCGTCGGATAATCCCTTCTTTCCTCTACGGGGGTGTTTTCCACCACAATGGTTGTTTTGGGTGGCGCTCCTATCCTTCTGTTGTGAAAAAAGACAGCCTCTGTCTTTTGAGGCGCCACCCTTAGAACAATGTCTTTAATGGTTCGTACCACGCGCGCCACCGCCAAGTTTGCACGTTCTGTCGCTTCTCCCCAGGTGTCTCCCCCGGCCAGTATTAACGTGTCGTTGGCGTAACAGATTGCCTGACAGCCGGGGGGGAGGGCAGTCCTCAGGGCGATGTCATACGCCAGGTTTCACATTAGTGGCCCCAACACTGAGTCCTGTGGAACCTCGCATGACATCTCCCTACACCCCTCCTCGGCGTTCCTATCTCTATAGGCCAACTGCCTGTCCCGGAAATAGTCCGCTATTATCGATACCAGGTATGAGGGAACCCTGTGATATTGCAGGGCTTCCCCCACCCGGTGCCATGGCAAGGTGTTGAAGGCATTCGATATATCCAGGGATACTGCCAACAACATCCCGCCTTCCCTCGTTACGGCCTCCGAGACCGAGCGAACCCACAATATTGCGTCAACTGTTGATCGTCCGGCTCGGAAGCCGTATTGTCTGTCGTCCAACTGCGGACCACTCCGGGACAGATGATGGACGAGGCGGTTTGTGATAATTCTTTCGAGAATTTTTCCCGCCTCGTCCAGTAGGCATATTGGCCTATACGCCGAGGGCGACTCCATTGGCTTGCCCTCCTTTGGAAGAAGGACCACGTTGGCCTTCTTCCACACCCGGGAAAAGGAGCCCGTTCTGAGGCACTCGTTGTACAAGTGCCTCATGGGCTCCGCCAGATCCTTAAAGGCAAGGGTTCATGCCTTCCCGTGGACGCCGTCAGGTCCTGGGGCTTTTCCACTTTTGATTTTTCTGAAGGCGTCCCTCAGCTCTCCTCTCGTGACCCCCATCTCGTCTTCGTCCCACTCCTGTTCCCGCTTTTGTATCTGACGATCGTCGGTAATACGCGGGAATAGGGTGTCTATTATATCCTGTACGAGACGGGGGTCCATGGTCTCCGTTAGCGGGGCCGTCCCTCTCTTTAGTTTGTTTAAAACCATTCTATAGGGACGAACCCATGGATCCTTATCTAGAGAAGAGAGCAGCTCTTCCCATGCCCTTGCTTTTGCTTGTCTTATGGAGACGCGTAGGATATTGTGTGTCTCTTTGTACGCATCCCACGTGTCTTCCAGGCCCTCCGAATCTGACAGCGCGTATTTCTTCCGTCGGTGCACCCTCCTTCTTGCCCGGTCGCAGAATCTGCGCAACTTCGCCAGATCCTCCGACCACCAGTAGGCCTGCCTGCGTGGCCTATTCCTTACCTTGGGCATGGCTACGTCACATGCTTGTGTTATGATGTTTTGTAGCCATGCCCTTTGTTCCTCTAGGCCCCCGCTTGGGGCTCTTTCCACAATTAATGTCGCAACTATTGCGGCCTGAAACGCATCCTCGTTCATCTTCCACAGGGCCCATCTCCTGGAGCTAGCTTCTCTGAGCAGACGGCGCTTTAAGACCTCCTTTGTGAGGGTAGAGACGGAGAATGTGATGTATCTGTGATCAGAATCTGTCTCCCTCTCCGTCTCCACCCTCCAGCCGTGTATAATCCTCTTCGCAGTGCGGGTCGCCCACGTCAGATCGACTATAGACCCGCCCTGTCTTCTCCAACAAGTTTTTTCCTTTCCTTTATTGAGGAGATCCATTTTGCTTCGCGCCGCCCACTCGTACACCTCACCGCCCCTCCAGTCGGTGCGCGGGGAATCCCACGCCATGTTCTTGGCGTTAAAGTCCCCCGCCACCACCAAAAGGCCGGCGGAGTATTTGATCACTTGCTGCTCCAGGATTCTCAGTCTCTCACCAAATTCTCTTTTTTTATATTCGGCGAGATATATACTGATACAAAAGTGATGGGCCCCCAAGATGCCACCACGAAACCATCTCCCCTGTTTAACGGATTTAGCGGTGGCGAGTCGGATGCGTTCCTCCTGATAATCGCAGCCGAGCCGTCCTTACTCACAGCCTAATTTTTGTTGTTAGCTGGTGGGCTGTACGGCTCAACTACGATTGCAATTCCGCAGGAATCCTCGCACATGTTTTGTACAAGGAGATCCTGGGCATTCCTAGCATGGTTCACGTTGGCCTGTATTATTTTAGATGAGGCCATCGTGAACCGTTTTTCCTTCTTCATGTTCTGATGCCAATTCCATAGCATCAGAGTTTTCTTTCGCTCTGCTCCTAGTCCTTGGGATTCTTTGCTTCTTTGGGGGTTCTTCCAATCCCCTCGTGATTCCCTCATTTCTTGGCTTTGCCAATTTGTTTAGGGGAATTCTCCTCTTCCCCTTATGCACCGGGAATACTGCTGGTTGAGGGTAGCGCTTCCTTATTTCCTTTTAACAGGATTTGCTGCATTTGTGCGCTTTGCGAGATTTGCAATATTTGCTCCTGCAGATCGTCCTGTTGTTGCTGGTTGTTGTCCTCAATTTTGTGCGTTATCACCGCATCCAGCAACTTCGTATGGCTTCTAAACACGGAGTTATTCCTCTTTCCCTCTTCCAGACTATCGTAGGGGTCGGTGAGGGTATTACTCAGATTGCTATCCTCCGGTGTCGATGCCGAATTGTTTCTCGACCTCGACCTTATGGCCTTTCTTTTTCTCAAGTTTCTGCATGCTACCCATGGCCGCTTGAGAGACTCGTGTCTGAGTCGACCCGCTGTAACGAGATTGTTAGCTCTCGAGTTTTAACTCCACTGGTGTTCTCCTTAACTGGAATTAATTCCTGCCCTTTGTAAAGTGGGGTGATGGAAACCCCCTCTTCTTCCCGAGGTTGGCCATGAATCTCGCAGTTTTCGCCTTCGTTGTTGTTGTTGTTGTTTCGTGTGTTAACCATTTCTATTGAATCCCACTCTCCCATCACGGCTCCTGTCCTCCCGGGTATACCCCCACCGGCTAAGGGGTGCCCCGAAACATGACCGGCCACACCCCAAGGCCGGCCCCCAAGTTTCCCCGGGGAGGGGACGTACGTCATTGGCCGGGGGGATATCGCACCCCGACCCCGAGCCCCTTACACACCCGCGCGGGTTTTAACGCCCACGCGGGCTTTCAGGGGTCCCGCACCTCTGACGGTGCGGGTACCGTGATGGGCGGCGCCACCCGGGGGGCCCCACGGACGCTTTGGACAGGGTCATCGCTCCCCGGCCCTGTTCTACACGCCGTGGCGACCAGCATTATGTGGCACCCCTCGTCGAAGGCTTTCGACGAGGGGCAGGCGCCTCTCCGGTCGGCCAGTTCGGAAGAGGTAACGGTCCCGACCGATCGGAGATATCTACTCTCGCCGCCGGGCTCTGCCTCGGAAACGTCCGAGCGGCCTCGGTGGCAGGCGGCCGCGGCACCCTCCGGGCTATGCCCCTTGGGTAACCCCTCCGGGCTATGCCCCTCGGGTAACCGCGACGCGCCTTCTCCGCTATCCTCGGCCCGGATTCGGAAACGTCCGAGCGGCCCGAGGATGGCAAGTCGCAGGGACGCTGGGACGAGAGCACGCTCTCCGACCAGCACCATGCGACTTCCCACTCGCCGTTGAGCCCCGCCTCGAAAATGTCCGAGCGGCCTCGACGGCCGACCCGCGTGGTCCCCTCCGGGCATTGCCCCTTGGGTAAACCCTCCGGGCTATGTCCCTCGGGTAACCACGCGTGGCCGTCCCTGCCGACCCAGCTCTGCCTCGGAAACGTCAGAGCGGCCTGGGTGCGGCCTACCCCAGGGACGCTGAGACGAGAGCAAGCTCTCCATCAGCACCCTGAGGCACCTCCCTGTCCCCGGAAACCGCTCCACGAGTGGGTCCCTAGGACCGATCGACATGGCTCCCTCTGGGCGAAGCCCCTTGGGACAACCCTCCGGGCAAAGCCCCTCAGGTGACCATGTCGATCCCTCCGCCGGCGCGACTTCCCACTCGCCGTTGAGCCCCGCCTCGAAAATGTCCGAGCGGCCTCGACGGCCGACCCGCGTGGTTCCCTCCGGGCATTGCCCCTTGGGTAAACCCTCCGGGCTATGTCCCTCGGGTAACCACGCGTGGCCGTCCCTGCCGACCCAGCTCTGCCTCGGAAACGTCAGAGCGGCCTGGGTGCGGCCTACCCCAGGGACGCTGAGACGAGAGCAAGCTCTCCATCAGCACCCTGAGGCACCTCCCTGTCCCCGGAAACCGCTCCACGAGTGGGTCCCTAGGACCGATCGACATGGCCCCCTCCGGGCAAAGCCCCTCGGAAAACCCTCCGGGCAAAGCCCCCCGGGTAATCGCGCGCGGCACCCTCCAATGCGGCCCCCGCCGCCGAAGCCCACCCCCCAACTCCTAAAGGGAAACCCCCCCGAGAAACCCCGAAACAAGCCCCTCCCAAGACGGAGGGGAGGGAAGACCCCGGGCAAAAGCCGCCTACCCGGCAGGCGTGCCGAGCCACAGAGCATGGTGGGAAGGGAAGCGCCGAAGCGCCGTGCAGTCCCTTCTCCTAACGGTGCCATGCCACCGGGCGTTTGAATTCCGGGTTGCCATCCCTCCGCCAGCGCGACCCCCTCCGGCAAAGCCCCTCGGAAAACCCTCCGGGCAAAGCCCCCCGGGTAATCGCGCGCGGCACCCTTCAATGCGGCCCCGCCGCCGAAGCCCACCCCCCAACTCCTAAAGGAAAACCCCCCCGAGAAACCCCGAAACAAGCCTCCACATACGAGCCGAAGCTCTAACGGGGAAGTGGGCCCCGTCTCCCCGGGATGTGGAAATCTTCCACACCTCGAGGAGAGCCCCCAGAAACGGAGAGCATGCCCCCGAGACCGGGGGCAGTGTACCTCGAGAGGTACGGACCACTCTTAGCACCTCTCGCAAGGCTATTCCCTTGCGAAGGGTGAGCCCCCTTTATCTTTTGAACAGCTCTTAGCTCAAAATCTAGCCGCGTATGCAAAAGCTATGCACCAATTGGGTGCCTGTCGCCAGGCACTCCTTTTAAACGAAATAACGAAAAACCGAGTTCACGTAAGAACTCGGGAGTGAACAGAAAATGAGTTCAATTAGATCAATCACCCGAGTCACATCGAGGATAACTCCCGACTCGCAATCAGACGAGTCGTTAGCTAAAGTCAGGATAAATCTAGAGTCGCGTCAAACGAGCAAAAAAGAGAAACGAAGTTACCAGAGGTTTATAAATAACCATACGCCGAGTCTTGTTAAGATTGTATACCAATATATATATATTGAATAAAGAAAGAGAATTCTACATTTAACAAGACTAAAATCTACGGAGAAACCCCGACGATTCAGAAGTCCACTTCCCAATTCGGCAACATTCCTTCTGTGTCTCACCTGAGGCACAACATTTTGGTGGCAGCGGTGGTATAGCCGGAGATCGAGGTTTCCTCACAAGGCGAAAACCTGTAAAACACAAAATTTAATAAATGTTACGACCATAGGATTCAAATTCCTCAGTTTCCAAAAATTTCTAAATCTTAATTTGTCGCAATAACATCGCGTTTGGCTCTTAGTCGAGATGAAGATGGAGTTTTTTAAAAAATAGGAGAGCTGACTCACAAATATTCTTATTAATGTTTAATAAATGTGTTAGACGGGCACGTCAGTAACGGGAACAAACAGAAACCACAATAAGAACAAGAGAAAGAGAGAGCGGACAATATAAGCAGTGCAACGAGTGATAAGCAGCAGAGAATCAAAAGGAATCGCCGACGTCCAAGGACAACGCCGACCTACGACTACCACACGAACAACGCATCAACAGACGTGAAGTAGGTCACCATCCAAGGACACGATCTACGACAACACGGAGAACGCATCGCACCGTACAGCGACCCGCAGGATCACCTTACAACGCCGGACCGCCAGCCGCATCAACACCGCCGAGCAATGACCGGCAGCATCAGCAAGTGAGCGATAATTATGCTAGCCGTATTAATGTAGGTCCGAATAAAACTTTTTATATATATTACGTGAATGTCGGAGAAGAGCGAAACACCCCGACAAGCGTTAAAGAATAAATCGTGGTTACATAACGACTCAGCCAAACGATCAATCAGAGCATTACCGTTAACTTTAAAGAATTTCTAAAAAGTGCGAATAAAATTAGAAGCAATTTATTCAAGTGAGAGCGACTCAGAATCATTTACTCACGGGAAAGTCAAACGCGAATTTCTGTTTAATATTTTTGACGAAAGCTTATTTGAAAAAGGAAAAATCGACGCCAATAAAAAATTAAGAAACAAAACTAAAGTACGCGTAAGTCAAACTCCTAGTAACGTGTCGCGGAGAATTCTTGCTCACGTCCTACGACAGTAGTATTTTTGATCCGAGCGAATATCAAAACATGTTGCGAACACCGCCAAACGGTGTCATGGATGTATCCGAGGGTGCCATCGACCGCGAGATTGACCGTCTTCACGACACCATAGCTCGCGACAATAATCGACTCGTGGAAGTCGATGTACATACACCACTCCCTAATAGCGATATAGGAACAGATAACCCTCGCGATATTAGGCAATACACAGATAGACGCATTGAAGAAACTGAGGTGCGCGAAACACCTAATTATAGGGAGGCAGGCATAGAAAATCCTATGCTACGCGAAATAATGAGAGGCATGCGAGAGCTACGTAGAGAAATGCTCACAGAAATAAATATATTGCGCGAACAGATTCATGATTCTAACGCATACGCTGACGAACGGTGTCAGATCCGCCGGGATACACACTCACGTACACTCGAGGGAGAAACGCGATACCCAGAGTACGACAACAAAAGATATGACGCTATGTACGGACGGACGGAGAATGACGTTAGACATCGACAAAGCCCTCATAAGTATTTTATCTCATTAAAAGAAGCACGACAAATGATCCCGGAATTTAACGAGACGACACAATATAAACTGCAAGAATTTTTAAGCGCATGCACTTATGCTATGCAAAATATACACCCTGCTAACAAGAAAGGGTTGGTGGGAGCTATTCTGTGTACGAAATTAAAAGGCAAAGCAATGTTAGATTTCCAAACGCGAGACATACAGACGTATGACAAACTCAAGCGACAATTAGAACTTTCTTATCAAAGCAAGCGGTGCACTACGCATTTGCAGATAGAGTTTAATTCTTAAAAACAAAAGATAAATGAAGGCGCGCAAGCTTACGGAACGCGCGTCGATACTTTAGCTATGAAATTATACGAATCCATGACAAAGGGAAAAGATCACTCCGCCATCGAAAAGCGGATTATTCTATCATACAAAAACAAGCCTTGTAAAATTTCCAAATAGGACTACGCGACAAGATATAATTGCTTATTCGTTTTCAAAATTACCAAACGAGATACAACTGCTTATTCGTTCTCGAAATTACCAAACGCTACAGGAGACAATAACTGCCGCAACCGCCGAGGAAAAGGTAAAGGGCACAAACGCATCGCGATCAAGTTACTATACAAATCGAAATCGATATGATTAAGCGCCGTCGCGACCATCAAAAAACGCCGTGCAATGCCATAAATGCGGAAAATCGGGACACTACGAACGAGAATGTCGCAGCAGCAAATACTTGCTCCCGAAACCAGAAAGACTCTTTCGTGCGAATAACGTCGAAAAATCTTGCAACTATTGCAAAAAGCGTGGGCATAACCGCGACGAGTGCTGGACTTTAAATGGACGGCCAAAAACAACAAGTCACGATAGAAAAACGGTGATAAACAATCGCGTAACGTTAACGTAACCGAGAGTCGTAAAAAGCCGAAACCGAGAAAAAGTGATACGGATTCTGAGCGAAGCAGCGACGAGGACGAGAAACACGAGGAAGAGAATAAGATGACACGCGCGCGGGAATATCAGGTGACACACGTGCGCCGAACGCCGAGAGAGAGAGCGAGTTTAAATATAATTACTCTGCCCATGCGAGAGGCAAAACACGGAAAAGTAAATATGCTTTACGATTCGGGAACTACGATTTCATTGATAAAAGTGAAACACTTAAAGGGCGAGACCGTTTACTATGATAAAATAACCCTCGTTTGAATAACCGGTCACAATGCAAAAACGATCGGGAAAATGTACGCGACCATTGAGTTAAACGGAAACAAAATAAAACACGCGATTCACGTCGTAAAGAATGATTTCTCAATGGAATACGACGGGATCATAGGAATCGATTTTCTCCAGAAGCAGCAAGTCGGACGAGCAAACGCGTATAGCCGGAATCATGAACCCTTCCTCGGGAGGCACCAAAGTAACTTTGAGCACAATGCGCACACCAGACCGCACATTTACACTTACGTGTAAAGAAAATGGAAAGGAGTTAGCCGCATATCGTGCGACAGCCCCAAGAGCCCGGTCAAAACAATTGGTCGACAATTCCGGCCCCACAACCGGCCCCCGACGGCTAAGAAACTGCAAGCACAAGGAACACATCGGTTCCTACCAGGGCACGAAATTTATATGGCATCGCGAGCAATCGAACCACAAATCTTCAAACATTTTTTTTACTAGACGACGCAACTGTATTAATTAAGCAAAGGTTGTCACAAGACTAAAGGGTGACGACAGAAGACACGTAGAACGAACGCCTCTCTTTCCTGATAAAAAATTGCAAACAAAAGTATATACTCACCATCAGAGATAAAATAGTAAAAGGAATTATATGTATATCAGTACAAGGCACTCTCACTCTTAGCCTGCAATGCTGCAGTATTCAAGAAGGAAAGTGAGAAGGGTCAACCGTATGAGATAACAGAATTCAAACACAGTCCAGGAATTCATTTTGAGCAAATTGACAATTACATGAAACAGACAGAAACTATAGACAACGACTTACAAAACAACAAACAAATTTTTTTTTTTTGCACAAAAGCAATTTGTTTACCCAATGACATTTACCGGAATAGCAACGACAGTACCCGCAATAGCCATTATAGCATAGATAATAAGTAAAAAAAAAAAATAAAAACAAAAAACAGCCAAGAGTAATAATAAACAATGACTTCAAAATACCGCGATCAATACTAAAAAGAAGTCAAAGTACTAGATTTTAAGAAACAATTATAAAACCTACTATGTTTCGGGGAAACTATAATTGTACATAAAATAAGATATAAACATAAGCAAATATTGTTAAAATGAAAAGTATAACGAAAAACCTCGTACCTCCATTTTTCTTTTTTAACGGGGGAGGGATGTTATAGCCCGAAAGGCTATAATTATAAGTTTAACGGATATAAAATTCGCGTGAAGATCGCTGATACAGCAGCGGACCGGAAACCGCGAAGACGCAAGCTAAGAGCTTCATCTTTCGAACAGCTCTTAGCTCAAAATCTAGCCGCGTATACAAAAGCTATGCATCAATCGGGTGCCTGTCGCCAGGCACCCCTTCTAAACGAAATAACGAAAAACCGAGTTCACGTAAGAACTTGGGAGTGAACAGAGAGTGAGTTCAATTAGACCAATCACCCGAGTCACATCGAGGATAACTCCCGACTCGCAATCAGACGAGTCGTTAGTTAAAGTCAGGATAAATCTAGAGTCGCGTCAAACAAGCGAAAAAGAGAAACAAAGTTACCAGAGGTTTATAAATAACCATACGCCGAGTCTTGTTAAAATTGCATACCTATATTGAATAAAGAAAGGGAATTCTACATTTAACAAGACTAAAATCTACGGAGAAAGACGATTCAGAAGTCCACTTCCCAATCCGGCAACATCCCTTCTGTGTCTCACCCGAGGCACAACATGTTTTTACAGGTCTTCGTCGCTGTGGATGATGGGGACGACGTCGGTCTTGTGATTGAGATAATCCCACCGCTGCCACCAAAATGTTGCGCCTCGGGTGAGGCACGAGAGAATTTTCGGGTCTCAGCCGTTTAAAGGATGGAGATCCTAAGAATAGGCGGCGTCTCCACTCCAGATTAGATTCAGTTTTTTAATAAATCTTTATTCCCTTTAACTCTGGAGTTGATTTATTTTGTCGCATCCCACCTAGGAGGTTAGTTAAATATTTCCGCACTCGGCAAAGTTAGAGTACAGGCGATAGTTTTGTGTTCAGCGGCTTGTCTTTGACACGTAATTAGATTCTGATTAGCGACTTGTCTTGTCAAATTTCTATCAGCGATTTGTCTCTCTGGATTTTTGTTAGCGACTCGTCTTGTCGAATTTCTATCAGCGACTTGTCTCTCTGGATTTTTGTTAGCGACTGATTTCATCGCCTCGCTCTCCGTTCGCGGTGATCTCTTGTCTTTTCTACATCTTTTGGGAGAAGATGTAGAAAAGCTCTCCCATTGGCTAATTTTATTCACGCGTTTTTTATCTAGGTGCAAGCGAAGCATGTTAATTCTTCGCTTGCAATCCGCGGTTTCCGGCGTTTCGCTTATTTTCTGTCGCGTTTGCG